AGTCCATCTTAATCAATTAGTAAATCTAGTGTAATTAATTAATTAAGCATGTTTTACTGAGTAAGATTAAGTATAATGCTTAATTAAATGAATCTGAGTCACTTTGGAGTTAAAAAGTGTACTCAATGAAAATTAAGGGGTATAAATAGGTACTGGCGAAAGTGCCCAAAATATAAAAATAAAAATAGTAATATTCCTAGAATAATATTCCAGACTTTTGGGTAAAGTTTGGTAATTAATGGAGTTGAATAGATAGATGAACCAATACCCGCTTAAAGCCACTTAACCTATGTTAAGTGACTAAAAGCCAAAAGAGAACCCATTTCCCACCCATCCCTCGTCGACGCCAGAAGAGAAGAAAAGAAGAAGAAGGAGAAGGAGAAGAAAGGGAGAGAGAAGAAGAGAGAGAGGAGGGAGGAAACCTTGATGGTTTTGGGTGATTCAAAAGCCTAAATCGCTTAGAATCTCGCCCTCTTTCATAATCCTTGCTTAGTTCTTAGTGGGGAGCTTTGTGGAGAGATATTTTGGCTCTCAAAAATTCGGCCCTTTGGTGAAAATTGGGGTTTTGTGGGCTTCAACCTCCATGGGAGCTTGAGGAACGCTCCTTGCTTGGTTGTGTGACCATTGGTGGTAAGATTCTAACCCTTGAACCTCATGATTCCTTGAAAATTGCATGAGTTAGGGTTTATGAATAGTGTTTTAGGGATTTTGATGAAATGTTATTAAATTAGCTATGTTCTAGGAAGAATGGAGCTTAGAGCATGTTATGGAAAATGCTAGGAATGTCATTTAATCGGTGAAAATGAGCTTAGATAGCTAAATGAGTATACTTGTAAAATTGCAAGAATATGACACTTGGTCATGAGTTTTCTTGCATTGTTGAGCCATTGTTTGGTTGGTCATTGATTGTATCCTTGTGTTGTCTAGGATTGAGGCAATTGGATCAACCTTAATTGACCAACCTTTGGAGCAAGCAATGGAGATGGATTAGTCCTTGAAATGGGTAAGTTCATCCTTGTGTTGTGGTATGAATAGGATAGCTTGGATTGATGATGATGAGTTATCCTTGAATGCAATATGTTAATTGCATTACCCTTGTATAGGTGTATGTTTGTAAAAGTTGATTGCTGAAACTGTTGGTGAAGAACAAAGGTCGACTGAAGCATTGAGGTAAGCCTTCGGACCTTGGGTGTAATTCCCTTGACTGTTCCACCAAGCCCTGAAAGGGTAGAGGTTGTGATTGTGTATATAAATGCAATAAAATAGTGTAATGCTTTGTTATACGTATGTGTATGCATTTGGTGTCGCATAGGATGGTGTTTCCCTATGTTGGTATGTGGCATGACGATGCGTAAATCATACTTGGTAGTTAGCTGGCCAGTAGGACTATTTGCATCTGAGTTCCTTAGGACAGCTTGAGAGCTCGAGGGATTTCTCCTGGAGATGTTATTGCACTTTGCATAGATATGTATTTACTGCATTATTATTGTTATTGCTATTACACTGATATGGAACCGTGGGGTGGAGAGATGCTCCAAGGACCCCTGGTTTACTGGATATATTCGTATATCTCACCCCGTGTTGTGGGGACCCCCTTTCAGGTAAGGATGCTGCAGGAGCCTCTGGTGGCAAGTGGCCATATCTGGATTATGCATGAAATGTGGCATTTCTTTTGAGATTATACATGTTGTTTTGTAGCTCACATGTATAGAATTGTAATGAATAGGCAATGCTAGATTTATGATTTGTATATTGGAATGGACTTAGCCTATGCTCATGCCTTTGGTCATCTCTTTTGTTGATGGGAGCCAAGGGAATGATCATAGTGTTTTGTAAGCTAAGTTCCATGATTTGTAATGGATATGTACTGTAAATGATGCCTACTTGAAATTCAACATATGCATGCTTATGATGTATTGAGTTATTGAATTGGTTGGGCTGAAAATCAATTAGGTACCTTTAGTTCTAAATTGGGAATTGTTGAGAAAACAAGGATTATGCTGCCCAAATTTTAGTACAAGCCATGAGGAAAAGGGCATGTATGTCCCTTTAGATGTGTTTGTATTATGCATGAACTAAGAACCAATTATGGAGAGAAATTTATATGATAGATTTGGACGGTGGTGTATGTATGGAAGTTGTAGATATTTTTCTTAGCTTTCCATAGAGACCAATATTGTGTGAATTGGACATGTATAACTCTAGTTAGAGGTAAAATACTAAGAATTGGTGAAACCTTCAGAGCTTTGGCGCACCTGGCGCCAAACTTGGCCCACATCATGCCATTTTGCTCGAAAGCTTCTGTTTCGTGGCGCAAATCGCGCCGGAGTTGGCGCAAATCGCGCCGGGATCACCAGCCGGCGCACCTGGCGCCAACCTTGGCGCCTCCAGCGCCATTTCGATGGGGAGCTTCTGTTTCGTTGGCGCCCGCCGCGCCACAGCTGGCGCCGGTCGCGCCGGGATCAGCAAGATTCACGCGCTCGTTTCGTAGAAAACCCATAACTTGGGCTACAGTGCTCCGATTTGAGCGCGGTTTGAACCCACGCGTAGCTAACGAAGAGATCTACAATATAGTAGAAGTTGTGAAATAAACAAGAAGTAAATTAATGGTTTAAAAATGGAATAAGAACATGATGTTAAGCTTGGTTTATCTGATTCCGCAAGGTAATATGGTTATGATCACGCAATTGGATATTTTAAATTCGGCGTCGTTTTAAAAAGAAAAACTTATCCGGATTTTTAATTGAGCCAATGTGATTGTAACTGCGCTTAATATTTGTAAATGTTAAATTTCATTTTCAAAAAATATAAAGATGTTTAAAAACCAAATACAACAAGTTTTATAAATGTTCATATCAACTTAATTTTAGTGTCACAGTAGAATATTTCCTTTTAAATTATTGATTAGTAAACTAAATATATATATATATATGGAGATATTATTTTATATCACTTCCAGTAAGAAAAAACAGAGTTGGGGAGACCTGTCAAGCTTTATTTTTTAGAGAGATTATACTTATTTTTTTTTTTCTTACAACCTTGTCTATATACTCCTAGGAATAAATAAGTTGATGTTTGTACTCTTCCAAATATATAGACAAGTTGTAAGTATAACATTTTCTTTTTGATAAGCTTTTGAAACTTTAAAATTATAATAATAAAGACTATTATAATTTTAAAATAAATTGTAGTTATAAAAATATCTTAATTTTGGTCCTAAAACAAAGTCGTTTTGAACTCAATGGAAATAACATATCTGCATTCACTAAAAAAACCAAAAAAATAAACAACCTTAGGGATAAAATTGTATAATTAATCATGGTTGCCTATGCCGCCATGTTTGAACATCTGTATGGTGTGAATTTGTGAATCATGATTATTTAAAAGCTTTCCGCTATTTCAGCTACCACAATAGTGTATTCCATAAAATAAATTTTAACATTTATAAAAGGGAAAAATGTTTCTGCAGTTAATGCAGATAAATTATCTGCATTTATTTTCAAAACGACGTCGTTTTGGAATTGAAATCTTAAAAAATTATAAATATAAAGACTATTATAACCCTAAAATAAATTAAAATTACAAAAACACATTGATTTCTGCTCCAAAACAACGTCGTATTGGGCTTACTACAGATAACTTATCTGCAGTAACAGCAGAAAAAGTACCGTTCCATTATTTAATCTCTGCACTCATCCTCATTTATGATATGAATATTCATTCTTAGTGCTGTTATTTTACAAATGTTAATAAATTTGTCATTCCCAACACCTACTACTCTCAAAAAAATAAAAATAAACAAAAGTTTCTCCACCGAATAAATTTTTTCTTTTTTTATTCCTCACAACTGAATTAATTCTGATTTCAATTTTTTTATTATATTGCATTTTGCTTCATCATTGAGGTCTTCATTTTCATTTTAGTTGCTTAGATTTATTTTATTTCATTTTAATATTTTATAAATTTATTCGGCCTATCATCCACAGCACAAATTATGTTATCTATGAAATCAAAATGATTTTGAGTAGATATGTGAATGCTAAAATGATGTAGAAAGGGGGGGAAGTCAATATTATAAAAATTGGTAGAGGAAAGGACTAAGTCTTTGCATTCTAAATAAAAAAAGACAATTTTTTTTTTTCATGAGTGAATTCTTTTATGTTAAATTTTCATATAATTTTTTCATCTGAAAACTTTGTATTTGTATTTTTTTATGGATATTCAGAAAATTTTAATAAAACTTCAACTACTTATTGAATAGATAAAGAAATGTTTCAGATCAAAAGATAATGTACCCGATTTGTGTCTATGTTATTTTTAAAAGAAGTTTTAAATATATTTATTTTGATGAAATGATAATTGAAATAATTATAAGAACATGGGAGGAAAAGATATTATAAATATAATTTATATATATAAATCAAATATTAACAGAGAATGTTAGAACACCAATATAGGTAATAAGAGTATCACGCTCAAAACATAATTTAACATAAAAAAGATAACTTTGGGCTGTTTGAATTCTATTTTTAAAAATCATATTTTTATTTTAAGAAAAAATAAAATAAAAACTTATTTAATAAGGCTTTTTTTTTAAAAAAAAGTTTTAAAATTAAATAAAAAAATAATTCTAAAAATTATAATTATTTTTTAACTTTTAGAATCAAATTTAGAAAACATATATATCTCAGTTATTTGTATTCTTTGTTTTGATTTTTAACTTTAAAAAAGGTACAGAAACTACTTATTTCATTAATTATTATACAAAATATTTTTTTTAAAAAAAAAACACACAATCAATTAGACTCTTTCTCTTTTGAGCGCTGGTTTTTCCAGAAAAATAAAGGTAGTTTAATTTTAAAAAATAGATATATGGAGTAGGTGTAGAAAATTAAGCTAGTTTAATTTCAAAGAAACATAGATAAACGGAAAGTTGGTAGAGAAAAATAAGATTAATTCCAGTGTGGTAAGAGTCTGCTGATAACCTCATTTGTAGATGAAGAATATTATAAGATCAGTTCTATATCAGGTTTGCATTATATACAAAACTACCATTGATTTAGTACTCAGCTGTCTCACTCTAATACATAATTACCCCTTCATACAATAAGTCAGGTGAAACGTGAGAGATTTAATACAGCGGTCCTTTCTGTCGGCTTTAATAAACCCACTTTTCCTTAATTACATAAAACAATGCGGCCATTTTCCAATACATTTTTTCTTTCTTTCTTTCTTTTCTTTTCTTTTTTTTAAAACATATACATTTTATCTTTTGATTCCTACAAATAATTTTCCCCATGGTCATTGCTTTTTGCTGTGCTGGCTCGAAGACAGCAATGTTATTCTTCTTGTGAAGCAAAAACAGCTATTCCAATACTTTTGGTCATCTTGTAGGAATTGGAATGTTGTTACTCAATCACCGGAAAACTGGAGAGAGGCAAAGAAGGAAAGATGAAAGAGCAAAGTTGAAAAAGATTGTGCTTGCAATGTCTACAAGAATACAAAAATCAAAAATTGCTGACTGAGGATAACTACATAAGAAAGTACATGACAAGAGTAAGTTATTTTTCTAACTGACCTCACACTCAATGCTGCAGAGAAAGGATAAGAAAATTGAACTAGGGGGGTGTTTGTTTCAGAGTATCTCAAAATTTGCCTAGGGAAGTAGATGTTGCATTCTCGTTTCCTGCGTTTGGTTGAATGGAATCACAATTTTTACCTATGAAAATGAGTTGCCTATCTAAATTACAAATGCACTAAAAAAGGAACTTTTACACTGTTAAAGAATGTTATTTGCAACATGGTATTTCTTGGAAAGATGGGGAAATTGAAAAAGTGGATGAAAATAAAGACAAAAATACCCCTCTTCTTAACCACATGTAACATTCAAAATTTTATAAAAAGGTTACTTCTGTAATTTCTATTTATTTCCCCATCAAACTTTTATTTTCAACCAAACATACACTCAACATATTTAACTCAATTTCCCCACTAATATTTTAGTGTACCAAACAACTTTTTTTAAATTTTCCTACCAAACTTATTTTCCAACTATTTCCCTATCAATTACATTTCTCTAGTATTCAAAAAATTTCTCATCAACCAAATGCCCCCTAGGATCAGATGGCAGAAGGAATTCAACCGATATATGAAAAGTTGTACATAGCATGAAGCATATCTGACAAATGTGATTTATCAGCAAGGTGGAGAAATGATATCAATAGTTTGCTATGAAAAAAAAATATCTAAATGGAAAATTGAAAGCACAAAGAAATATTAAAAAAAAAAAAAAAAAAAAACCAAGGTGGAGAAATCTCAACCCCCCCAACAAAAACCAAAAAAAAAAAAAAAAGGAAGAAAAAAAAAGATTACTAAGGAGATGTAGTATTGCCCTCTTAAGGGAATGGGGAGAGCTGAGTTAGTAACATGAAAAATTTCAAGACACATGCAAACTTAAATGCTTCATATTCTTGTCAACTATACAATTGTACAAACTAGTTATATGTCCAGTGATTGGGTTGATTTTCAACCTGCAGTCAAGTTCCCCAAAATGAAAGCTAAGATTTACCTGCGGCATGCTGTTAAATGGCAAAACTTGGTCGCTTGAGAAAACATGATCTCCAATGCAGATGCCTACAGAAAATAAAGATACATACAACTCATCAGTAGCATTAAGAATTGCCACCAAAGTCAATTTCTGAGTCAAAAATAGCACAATGGTTCAAACACAAGCCAGTGATTCAAACATTTTTACAAAAACCTATATATGTCACTATAAGAAGAGAGAGACAGAGAGAGAGATGAGGTGGTTGATACCTTTTATGCATTCAAGGGAATAGAGAGACTATATCTTTCAAACCCTGTGTTGTGTTCTTCCATATACCAGTTGGACGAGGTGGGAAGACGAAATTAATGGATTTCTGTGTCTCTTTTTCAACTGATTCTACTCCTTTGCCTTTCCTCTCATCAGATCCGTCACTTGTTTCTGACTCAAATTCCATTTCCTCATACAAACCTAATCCTAACTGCTTTAGCGATTCCCATTGCAACTCTGTTTCCGAGTCAACTTCCATTTCCTCAGACAAATCTGATCCTGACTTCCTCATCATCCACTCCCTTTCCAAGTCAACTTCCATTTCCTCAGACAAATCTGATCCTGACTCCCTCATTATCCACTCCCTTCCCAAGTCCATGTAACTTTTCCCTATCCAAGATTCTGACGAATGTAAAGGAAAGACCCCACATTCTTTCACACGGAACAAGCCATGGCACTCCCCAGTATCAGTTCTAACACTGAATTCAAAACAAACCTTTGTTTCATCCCTGCCGGGAATGCTGTCAGAACTGAAAGGATCATACCATACATAAACATGATCACATTTCAAATCCTTAACATTTTTATAATGACATGTATACGCATATCTCACCTTTTTGCCATCTTCCGAGTAGCATTGATATTGGATTTTAGCACCATTATCATATTTCTCCATTCCACAGGATGGAGAAACAACTACCGAAAAAATGAATCCCTGCAAGTTGGAAAGGTTAGGAATTCCAATAGTTATGGAGGAATGTGGTTTTCGGTATTTGAACTGCAATGGGACTCTGCTTCCTGGTAAACAAACCCCAGAACTGTTGTAATTGTCATATCCAAAAGAAAACTTCATTGTTAATAGAGCAGCTTCAACAATGCTGTCAATCGAAGGTCCATCCAATTTCATAGCATTCTTGAAAGAAATGGATTTCGCCTTTTCTATCATTTCTTCTGAATAAGTCTTTAAAATGGATACTCTTACCAATGATGTGCAGTCATCTGCATTAAACTCCTTTATGTTCCAAGGAAGCTCTGGCAAACACCGAAGCTTCCTGCAATTCTCTAAGGACAAAATTTCTAGCTTTGAGAGGTCCTTGATGCTTTCAGGCAACGTCTCCACACTACTTCCATCTAGTCTTAATTCGTATAATGATGATAATCCACTGATGTTGTTTGGGAGTTCAGATAAGTTACAACATTCTTTCAAATATAGTTTTCGTAAAGATCGCAGGCCGTCAAACAGAACATGTAACTTCTGTTTAGTTACTATATTGCAGTTTGAAATCCAAAGCTCAGTAAGACACGTCAGGTCAGACAACTCATTTGGAAGATTCTGAAGTCTTAAACCTTCTAGATTGAGGGACACAAGCTTTCTTAGACGACCGATAGATGAGGGCAATATTTCGATTCCTGTATCGCTTAAATCCAACCTTTCAATTAAATCCGAGGACAATGAGAATTCCTTCAGCCTTGAGCAGCCATTGACACTGAACTTCTCTAGAGATCTTAAATGCTTCTCACATATTACACTTTCAAGTTTTTTGCACCTATCGAGTAGCAGAGTAACAAGTGTGTCCTTAGAAAGAACAGATGGGTGAACAACGCATAAACTTTCACAACCGGAGAGAAACAACAATTTGAGTTTTGACGCGCCAGATAAATCTGGGAGCTTGATCAACTGTTTGCATTCACTTAGGTCCATTCTTTCTAAATTCTTAAGTTCCTGTTACAATTCAAAAGGAGACATCAAAATATAATATCCTAAAATTTCATTTAAACTGAAATCATAAGCGTACATATACATGTACACACACACACCTGCATGCCACCCCAAAGATATTCAACATCGCTGTAAGGCAAACGAATCTCAACAAGCAGCTCAGCACAAAAAGGTGGTGGAAGAGACTTCAAAGGGTATCCATACCACTCAAGGTACCTCATTTTATCCGAAAATGGCATAAGAGCTGGAGGATGCTTCACAGTCGTTGATCTCTTCTTATCCAAGGGAACATATAATTTAAGCAATCTTAAACCGGTCATTATGTTGAATGTAGCAGCACTTATGTGTAAATCTACTTTTTGAGACAAATCTAATGTCATGCCTTCAACTGCATCAGTCCCCTGCCAAAACAAGAAATAATTAAATAAATCTGTAGCAAATTAATTATAATTTCTATCTCAAAATTTCAAGTCTTGTAAAAGGCCAGCACTTTTCCGTACCTTGTTTTTGTTAAGTACATCACGAACTTCTCCAATATCCCTCAATCGGCTACGTCTTCCTGGGTGTCTGCTAAATTCTTTCCGAACTATATCCAAACCCATTTCTTGTAGCAAGTCATGCATTTCTATTCTATTGCTCTTTGAAATAGTTATAAGGGCTTTATCTTCGAGGACTCTTATTCCACTAGTAGCGAAGAAATCACAGGCATCTAGTATCCTTATGACGTGGTCTTTATTTTCATCTTTGAAAAAGAATGCAATGTCCAGAAATATTGCCTGGTTTAGCTCTGATAATCCATTATAGCTCACTTGTAACACGTTTTGAATTTCCTTAAAGGATTCCTTCTTGCTCTCAAATTTATCCAAATCACATTTCCAAAATTCAGTATCTCTGGAATGAAAATGTGAACCCAAAATTTTTAAAGCTAAGGGAACGCCTCCTGCACAGGCAACTGCCCTTTCTGCAAGATGCTCATAACCTTCTTTAGGATGGCTTTGCTTGAAGGCTGCTAAGCTAAAAAGCTTTAGAGATTCTGGAAACTTCCATTCTGTGACGTCATATATCACATCAACTCTTCCACTAAGCATATGCCTATTTCTCGTTGTTATAATGAGTCTACTGTCTAGTCCAAGGTCATCTAGTTCACACAATAATTCTTCTAGTTGAGTAGAACTATCAACATCATCAAGTACAATGAAAACCTTTTTACTACTGAGCCTCCTCTTAATGAATGTGGATCCAGTAACATGAGATGTGGTGATTGGTTCCTTTAGTAACTCAGAGAGAAGTTTATCACGTGTATACGTTAGTCCGAACTTCTCTGATTCTTCTCTTACATTTGCCAGGAAGCACACACTGTCAAATTGTGGAAAGTGTTCGGCAAACATGTGTCTAGCTATGGTTGTCTTACCTATGCCGCCCATTCCCCAAATTCCAATTCTTGGAACTTTCTTGAGTAATGATTCAATGGATTTACCATTTTTGTCAATTTGAACAAGGCCTTTCAGTTCATTCGGGTACATCAGGGACAGCTTTTGCCAAACATCTTTCACAATGTTTTGGACGGCTTCAGAATCATCCCTAGCCCAAAAAAGTAAATAAATAATAAGGTATAAAAAACAAACAAAACTAAATATTTAATATCGCGTGAGTGCTTTAGTTTTTGGTGTTTGAATAACATGTCTGTCCTTGCTCTCTCTCTTGATATTTAAACTGAAGAAATATTATGAATATGCTGGTTTTATCCGTAGTTTAAAAAGTGGAGTTTATTGTTTTGCAGCAAATCATCAAAATTGAGAATAAATCTTGAAGATGCTCAACCAATCAGATCTCTATCAATTTCTTTACAACATGAGATGACATGTAAAAATTAGTCGCCTCTTGAATAATCATGTACATAACAAATTCAGCATATACTATTTCAAAAAATTACTTGTATAAAATAAGAACATATATATAACAGTTACCTATGGGTACGAGAGTCCCATCCAGATATATTGGCGGCTTCAGCGAGAGCAGCTTTCCACTCAGACACTTTGTCTTGGTTGGATCCGCTATTTGTGAGATCTGTCTCATATTTGGCGAATGCTTTCTCGTAACTCCCCTTCTGTTTACGTACATGTGATGGATCCGTTTCATAGAAAACAGGTATAACTACCTGTCCATGATATTTTCTGCACTCGAGTATTTTGAGGAGTTCTTCCAAGCACCATTTTGATGTAGCATAGTTTTCTGAGAAAACGATGATGGATATACTTGAGTCCTTGATTGCTTTTTCAAGTGCAGGCCCAACTTCATCTCCCTTTTTAAGCTCATAATCAATGTATGTTTCGATGTTGTTGTTGCAGAGAGCATTATGAAGATGGCTAGTGAAATTGGTTCGGGTGTCCTCACCCCTGAAGCTAATGAATACATCGTTCTTTTTGGCAAAGGAAGAAGAAGACATATTCTGACTGTGACTAGCTATTGCGATTTGCGAGTGCTAAGGAAAACCAACACACTTTTCTTCTTCCTTTCTCTGCTTGCAATTTGTACAGAAGAAAAACAGATCAAGAGCAGCGACGGACGAGATGAATTATCTGGTGTCGGCGATTTGTGTACCACAGGATTTCCAAGCTGATTTATAGCTGGAGGAACCCAACGGATGTGCTTTTTTCTCCAATGTCCGCAAAATATCAAATGGCTCACACCTCATTATAGCCACCCTCGCTCCTCATCCTCCTCATCTAATGGCTCACACCCCATCTATAGCCACTCTGGCTCCTCATCTAACGGCTCACACGTGAAACATATTTATTGGACTACACGAAATAGAAGCTCAATCTTATGGCAGCCTTAGAAGAATTTTCAATTATTAGCATTAGATATAGGGAAATTCAATTCTTATGTTGAAATCATTTACCTACTGACCATGGGGAAGCGTGACAGACTTTTTATTTTTTTTTATAAGAAAAAAACAGTGAGCCCCGAGGAGAATTGTGTCCATAGGAATCTGGAAATTTGTTCAGCACACATACTTAGGCTTTGTTTGTTAATTACTTTTTTTTTTAGAATTAAAGAACATCTGTAATTTATTTTTATTTTCTGTTTTAATTTTTAATTCTTAGTATAAAAATAAAAATTTTAATATTTTTACAGTTAAGTAGATAATTTATCTATATTTACTCTTAAAATGATATCGTTTTGTGTTAAAAATTATAACAAAAAAGACTATTATAATTCTAGAATAAATTATAATTTCAAAAATACATTGATTTCCGTCTCAAAACGACATCATTTTGGATTTAATATAAATAATTTATCTACATTAATCATAGAAAAAGCGAAATTAAAAAAAAGAAACATAAAAAACATTATTTTTATAATTATTCTTTAAAGTAATTTTAAGAATAAAATAATTAAAACACAATCAAACATATCCTTAATCTTCTTAGATATAGTATTAGGATAAAGTTTGTGTCATTTCAAAGGATGTAAAGTTGTGTCATTTTAAGAGAGAGAAAGAGATAGATAAAGGTGGAAAGAGAGTTGACAAAAAAAATAAAGACGTGGGACCCACCTCTTTGTGAGAGTGAAATGATATAAGTTGTGTCATTTAAAATGATAAATAATTTTCCCATAGTATTGTAGTAACTTATTCTTATCTTTTTTTTTTTTTTTGATAAATGAACTTATTCTTATCTTATTAGATAAGATTAATTTATGAAATTAGGATTTCTTTTATTTTTATCTGTGGCAATAATTCGGCCGTTTATTTTCTCTATAAGATGTGAAAAATCTAATCAAATTAAATAGTTTCGTTATTTAAAATAGGGAAAATAGTCGAAAGAATTTCTTTGTCCTTTATAAACACCGTAAGTAGTGCCTTTGATTTTTATTTTATTTTTTTTAAAAAAAGAACACAGTGGCTCCGCCATTTGTTCTCTTTGCTGTACATTGAAAATCTTTGTTATAGGGATATAAATTCCTTTACAATATTCAAATATAAATTATAGTGAAGTTTCACATCTAACATTGGAAATCTTTTATCAAATGTTAGTAGCTCAATTGGCGCATGAGAGCTAAGCAGGTGAAAATGAGAGCATGTGTTCAAATCTTCCTAGTACCACCTTTAAGAGAAGTTTAAAGTCTTAATCCTGAACCCGCCCCGAATTGGATTAGTTGCAAAGCAACAAATCATTTGAAATATTTCCAAAAAAAAAATATTGAAAATCTTTCTTTATAATATGACGGATTTAAACCTCTATAGTTGAGCGATGGACTTACCACGAAACATCTAGTCAACATTACAAAGAGAATCTGAATGCACCAAATCCAAATACATATATTAATGGTTTCATTTATCAAGCCACAAAAAGTTTTCTACATACATAATATTTTGTGGAGCTCACATTTTTTAAAGAAAAAAAAAAACTACGGCACGAAAAACGAATTTATATAACATAACACAACCATTTTTCCTACAACATAACTTTTATAAAACCCTATATTAATTCCTAAAAGCTTAGTCGCATTAACATAAGAGAATATATTAACAAGTTGTAGAAAATAAGAATCACATTAAAAATGATGGTAAGTGTACACCCGATATATTAATATATATATATATATATATATATATATATATATATAGGGCTTTGTATTTCTCATTTAACATGAGGTTAGAAAAATTCCTACACTACATAATTTAAATTGGTCCTACCATAAACAAAAAATGAAAAATGAAAAAAATATTACATGCAAAACGATCTCTCACTAACATGATAAAATAATTCTCCTATTAAAAGAGAAAGTGTTTTCCCATATATATATATATATATATATATATGATAATAAGCGCAATATATGATAATAAGCGCAATATAGTTAAATAATCAAATGTGAAAGCTCTTTCCATAAATCATTATATTAGACCTAGTATAAAAACGTGATTAATTTTTTCTTTTTTCTTATGTATTGCATTTTTTATTGCCTCTTGGGTTAAAATGAAACGGATGACATTTCGTCTGTATTATGAACCACTAAGGATAATTCTTACCATGATAATTTCAACCTAATTAACAGTTTAATATAATTTAAGCATACATCATATTACTCAGTCATCCATGACATAGGCTATCACATAAATATCAGGTCTCTAAAGCAATGTCCATAATGTTACTTAAATGATTACATCAACCACACAAGAGATGTAATTAAATAAGTAACATAGACATGTACAATCATCACTGATAACATATACATACTATCAATATGGCATAGACATCTTCTAAGCTCTCCAAAAAATAATATGGCATATATAACTCAAAATAATAACATGTCATGTACATATCAAAATAGCAGTCAAAGTCATGACTGTCAGGTCAAATAATAACCCTCTCATGGCCTCCTGTCATGCGATGCCTCAGCACCATCAACCATTATACCTGAAATGGTAATCCCCATAATGCGGGCTGAGATAATCATCTCAGCAAACTAGGGGTCCTTAGAGGGCTCATCCATCCCTAGGTTCACTTCAGGCACAACTCAATATAAAATCAATGTATGCATAAGAATGTGTATGTCAATGAATATGTGCAATAACGAATCATATTTGCCAGAGAATACAATATGTATGCATTACGCAAGGAAACCCGTCTTGCAACATACCAGTACAAGGAAATTTGTCTTGTACTACGCATAAGGAAACCCGTCTTATGCCTCTCACACAAGGAAACTCGTATTGTGTGGCACACAAACATACATACGTATACATGCATCATATAACAATCTTTTACAACATACCATATATCAAAGAACCATCCTTCTTCAGAGTCTGGTGGAACAGAAAGGGGGTTAATCCCAAAGACCGAAAACTTACCTCAAGTAGGCTTCCTCTTTTACACTTTATTGCAGTCCAAGCAATTAAGCCCACAAGAATTTTACACCAAAACGCCCTACGCTTGACAACTTAAGATCCCAAGTCCAAGTGACTTATTCACACAAGATAATGTCACCAATGCAACCAAATTCTTAGAAATTCAAGAACGTAGGCTTGGTCACTTGGTGGTTCTAATGAGAATTCCTCTATCATCACTTTGCTTGGTTCACCATACAATCTGACCTAGAACGAAGGGGGAGGAGTCCCAAAGCTTTCTTGCACTTGAAACACCCCCAAAATCATCAAAATTCTCACAAACTCGTGGCTTTGAGGAAGAAATATCTCACTCCACAATGAACCCCAACAAAAAATGAGCTACGGGTTAGAAAAAGGAGAAGATTTGAAGTGGTTTATCTTGGATGGTAAAAAAAAATCTCACTTTGAACCCCAACTCCAAGAAATATCTCACTCCACAATGAACCCCAACCAAAAATTTAGCACTTTTCATATTATAACTATGTACTCTCGTAATACATAGTAAAAAAAATTAAAATGATACAATTTGTGTTCTTTAAAAGGACACTCGTTTAACCCATAATATATATGAAAAAATTGTATATCATTTTAAAGGTGTTGTTTGATACAAGAATTTTTTTGAGAATAGTGAGAAAGTGGGTTGAGGAAAATTAATTTTTTGTGTTTGGTAAGAGAAAGAATAAAAATAATCTTGGAAAAATTTTTTTTCCATCATTTTGTTTTATACTACCCCATTTAAAAATATCATTGAAGGCATGATATTTTATTTTTTCGTACCGGTGGGAAAATAGAGGATCACTTATCCTGCAATTTCTCAAGACATACGTTGCTTCCTCTGCAATTTCTCAAGACTTAGCGGACTGACTAATTGGACACTAGTGATTTCTTTTTCCCCTCAGATTTCTACACTTGCTTCTGAGTTTTCTGTGATCTGTCACCGTCCAGTTGGTTTTCTGTGGCTTGGTAGGTGTCAAAAAGTTCACCAGCAATTCCCTAAATTATTCTTTGTCCTCATGATGAATTGAACTTGGTCCAGATATCCAATTTATAGAATACCCGTTGGATCAACACTCAGAAATTTCGATGCATCTTTCCTAACTTTCTATTCTTTGTGAGCTCACTCGAGAAGTATATCTATATCTTTCTTGTCAAATACACAAGTAATGGAGTTCCCATTTATCATAGCTTATTTGTATCTTTTTTTTTGTCAGATACAAAAATCAAAATGCTTGTAGCGGCAGGAAGATCCATGGTGTTCATGGATGCGTAAGACAAGCAAACAGAGAAATATTGGTAGGGGAATTAACATTCAATAAAGTCTGAAGGTGGTGGGGGAAAAGCGAGTGGTTCCATAAAATCCTTCAGAAGCCTTACTACCAACCAATTTGCAAGCAAGATTATTGGAAAGCTCATTCCCTCCTCTGCTCAGTTTTATCTCTTTGGAATTGGAAAGCAAGATTTTTCACAAGAAAAATTATTTGTCTGCATTGTAAAGTTTTTTTTAACTTTTTTCCTATCAGCATTCACATCAAGCAGCAATTATAGTTATGTCTATGTGTCTGTATGAGGATCCTTTTTAGTAAAGCGCAGAACAAACTTTTAATCTAATGTATAATATTACATTCATTCTCGTGACACTGTCAAATTTTAGGGGAGGAAAAAAACCATCTTGTTTATCTTGGATGGAAAATTGAGTGAACATAATCTAAATTTGATGGTAATAAATTTCTGATTATTTTTGCCCCCTCTA